AGGGGAAAATGGAAAGGACGATACAAGGAGAGAGAGAGAGTGTGTAGATGGGAGAATAGGGTTTAGGGGATGGGGCTCTAATTTGCCCTTTCTTAATTAAAATATTAGATAACTTGGGGCTATTTATTGCCATTAGTTGTATGGAATTGCATCTACATGCGGTTTTTTGTTTAGTGAAAAGATTGAATTGGAATTTAATAAGTGGTACTGGATACGTGATGCCTTGTTATTTAATAAAAAGCATATTGTTAGGAATTATTTTGATTCGAAATAAATATTCATGAAGCAATTTATGTGTTGACTTTAATCAGTATTTTAAAATAATTTTCTGGGACTCGCTCAGGCTCGCCCTGGGGCTGGGCACTATCAAAACGCCCTGAGACTCATCCCTGGGGCTTAGTTCTGTGAGGCTTACGCCTCAAGCGCCCGACTATGTGCCCTAAAACACGTGTAACGCCCAATGTTCGGGACTCGTCCAACAGTTATTGCTCAAATCATGTGTCGAATTTCCTAATTAGAACTATTAACCCTCAAAATTCATTAACAAATGAATGATTAAAGTTGTATTCATCTATAGGAATATAAAGATTAAGAGTAACTCAAATAATGAGTAATACTATTTCATATTTACTAAATGAGAACAACGTGAAGGTAAATATAATTTGAACATTTTTCTAAAAATAAATAGCCAAAATTATATCTTCACTTGTTGTTGGCATTCATGTCTTAGCTCTATGCCTCTCAAAACTATCAAAAATTTATTACTCACGAAGCAATAATATTTTAAATTATAGCACTGGTGAAGTTTATTAATTATTTACTTTTAGAAAGGTAAAATATTTAGTTTAGTAATATTTATTAAGAAATTATGATTTTCTTATTATTTGAAAGTAAGACGTTATAATTGATTTGTATTTCGTAGTAACATTAACATTATTGATTGTTTATGCTGGTAAAATATGCTACATATTTTATTTTCTCTGAGCTTTGTAATCATTTGTAATTTCCTTAAACTTTTAATGTACTTTCTAAATTTTTATGTTATTATGCTATTTTATTAATTTATAAATTAAAAATTTAAAGATCCATGGGACAACGCCCTATGTGTCAGGGCTTACGTCTCGCTTCATAGTAAGTAAATTGTCCCACCTCTTGCCCCCACCTTTTAAAACAATGACTTTAATGTTGATGTAACATATTTATTTATTTGCATTCGAGAATTATGATTATTTTAAAATTTGTAACTTCCGTTGAAATTTATTGAAAATATAAAACATGATGTAGAAATTGTCATCTAAATGCGTCGAGAAGGCATATTTCATGACTTTTTAATTAAAAAATATAGTTTATGACGATATCTTTTATTGTATTAAGTTAGCGTTTGACAATAATATTTTTTCTTGTTGCATAGACTTTTAGCATCGGAGTTTGTCGCAACAACGTGCAACTACTTCTTTGTTGTAGTCAAAAGTATTTTTGGCAACAACGTCTACTATATATTCAACAAAAAAGGTTGTTGGAAAAGCCTTTTTTTCCAAAGATAGGAAGGGATGGCCTTTGTAATATTATATGGCCATCATTATTAAAAATATATTATATAACCGTTGTATTAAAAAATGTATAAAATTTGTATATATATACATTTTATATGTTATTATACAAAAATAATACAAATTTTATACATTTATCAGATGTAAATAATTTCTGGCGCGGGCTAAAAATAATAATACCCCATCATTATTGCACGATAATGATTAGCAATCATTGCTTACTATGACAAAGAAGCATTATATGGCTACAAAACTACTGCTATAACTCTTTGGTTTGAAGGTCACACTTCATTGCATGCAAAAGCTATGCAGTAAAGAGACCGCTTCAACATTTATCCGTATAAAAATTGTTTTGAAACATTATCACCCATATTTCATCAAAATGGAAAGTCCCACAAATTTTAATCCATATATTTCAACTTTTTTATTTATTAAACCCAATATAATGTCACGTGGGACATATATCTTATACTAAGTTTTATTAGCCTGTTAGAGAACACTAATTTCCAATGAGAATGGGGAGAAATTCAAAAATAGCCAAATTTACAAGTGGTCGTTTAAAAATAGCCCTGTTTCAAAAGCAATCGAAATTTAGCCACTTTTCATGTAAAGATAAATCTGAGCGAAAATACTGTTCAGAACCCGAAAAATATGCCAGTATATTATGCTCGAGTTCCAGCATAAGTATACTTGAACTCCAGCATATTATACTGGAGTTCCAGGATAAGTATGCTGGAACTCCAGCATAATATACTGGAGGTCCAGCAAAGTATATCGGTCTAGTATAATATGCTGGAAGTTCATACACAAGTGCTCGAATCTCCAGTATATTATGCTGGAACTTTCCGTGTGTTGGAGTTCCAACATAATATGCTGGAAGTTCATACACAGGTACACCGAACTCCAGTATATTATGCTGGATCGGTCTCTGTTGCAGCAAAATAGTGGTTATTTTTCATTGACTTGGTAAACGCTGGCTATTTTTGAATGACCAGTCCGAAAACTGGCTAGACCGTGCTATTTTTACATGAGAATGGTATGGCAAATTTAAAGAATATATCAAAAGATTAAAGAAGGCAGTCAAAGGGAAAAAACAAAGAAACAATTCATTCTTTGTGTGATTTCAAATAAAAGTTACGAAAGCTGCTCAAGTCATTCTAAGTCTAGAATATTATTCTCATAGAATCCCAGAAATCCTACAAGAATACAAGAGTAAAAAGGATGTCAGGAATATGAGAATATTACATGTACACAACAAATCTAGAGTACATAAAAAGTGGCAACACAGATGAGCAGGTCTCAAAACCGTCTCATTCGGGCAGGCTGTGAAAGAAGATGATTACAAGGGCTACAAAATGTATTTATGGTACTTTCATCAGCATGCGCAGCTCTTTATGTACTTCTGCAGAAACCAAACGCCCCCCTTTAGACTAAACACGGAAGTTAGTTTCATCAACAACACACTGCTGAAAGGTGAATACTTATTATAGTGACCGTAAGCGTAACTTGGATTTTACCTGTCATTATACATTTTCAGATTTTCACAAAGGTACTGTAGAGTTCAAAATTCAAACCACATTGGTGCTTGTACGAGCAATTCTCTGGGCTTCTTCAAGGTCCTTCAAGAATCTAAATGTCCGCCACACACATTATACAGATATCAGCTAACTGGATAAATAAGACTAAAGAAACCTTTGTGCAGAACTTAATGTAGCTGGGAGAAGAACAGGAATAACAACCCAAAAAAACATGTCCTGAAGTTGATAGAAACAAGAAGTTTCAGGACCCAAATGTGTCAGAGTTGAGCCAAACGAATAATGTATAGTTTTTCTCGTACGAAAGGAGGCTGTAGGAGAAGCACGTTGTCTTTTATCATACACTCTTTGCATAACCTCAGGCTAAAATGCTGTTTGAAGTACAAGGGAGTGTATACCTCTTAGAATTTAGAAGGGCAGAACCACCGAGAATAAAACGAATCCCGGAATTTGTAGAATTCTGCAGAGCAACTGAACGTGATTCTTCATATGTTGTCCCACCAACAATGAAAATCACCACCTCCTGTGGCCTGTATATGACAAACAACTAAGGTTGCTTTAGCTGCATGAATTGTTTAAGCACCATAATATTTTTGTCAAGGTTCCAACTCATCTTCAACCCTAAAATGTGACTAGCAAGTGTAGTTCAACTGATTTTGAAACCAAAGTTTGAAAAACTATGAAGAGAAAACACAACCAAAAAAAAAAAAAATTAAAGAACGAAGCAGGAGCTGGAGTTGGTTTTGGTAAACAGTTTAAAGGTTGAAATCGTTCCAAGGTTCAATGACCTGCGCTGGCAGTGTTGATTCCTGTGGGACACATCCCAGAAGCTTTCTCTTGCCTTGGGGAGGAGGAACACAGTAAGCATCTGCATCAAATAGATCATGAAGGGGTGCAGGTGTCGGATTGGACGAAGAAGAATGTTAAGCAAGGAAAGAAGTGGCAGAAAGCCCAGGAGAAAGGATGAAAGGGATAAAGAAATTGAAAAAGATAGAGTTTCAAGTCAACCGTGACAGGGAAAATAGAGGAAGAGGCAAGGGCATAAAGAACACCAAGGATAAATCAAGGTAAAATTAATTAGTAGGCATTTCAGGGGGTTGAATAGAAGGAATAAACAAAGAATTCTGAGAATGCTGGTCCACAAATGGAAAACAAATGTTTTCTGTTTACAAGAAACCAAAATCGAGCAATGAATAGGGATTGGTAAGACAAATAAGGGCAAATAAATGCGTGAACTATGCAGCCATAAACACAGAAGAGGGTATTGGTGCAGTTATTATTATTTGGGACAGAAGGCTATGATCATGCAAAGAAGCAGTGTATGGAGTATACTCCATAACAGTGCAGTTGTATCACATTCTCACTGAGTTCACTTTGTCAATCTCAGCGAGTATATGGGCCAGTCAGAAGTGAAGGAAGGTTGCTATGGCGTGAATTCACTACCTTCAAAAGTTGTTATGAAGGACCATTGGTGAGATTTCAATTTAATCAGCCATGATGTGGAGAGACGCCTTGAATTCAAACTTAATGTAGAGATGCGGCAGTTCTCAGAATTTGTAGAAGAAACATGGAGTTAATTGACTCTCCTCTGTGTGATGGAAAATTTATGTGGATAAGAGGGCAAGATTCGGGGTGAAGTCAACAATAGACAAGTTCCTCTTCTCCATTTAATGGGATGACAAGTTTAGCTTCTAAAACTGTGGGCCTTACCCTAGGGTCTTCTCAAATCATAATGCACTAGTATACCAGTGTTGTCTTAGGCGAAAAGCACAAAAAAGCTCTAACGTCTGTTGGGGCTTTAAGTGCAAATAAAGCGTGGGCTTTAATAAAAGAAAGGTGCAAATGGAGAAAACTACAAATATGTATGTGTAGTCCAAGACTAATATCTATAAGCATAAATACCAAATTTATGGACAAAGAAATTAAAGAAAATTTACAATAAAGTGAAATATCAATTGTTTAGTGTCGCCTCTTCAGGATTACGCTCATTGGCAAGGAAAAGTATGCCTTAGAGCCTTGAAGACAACACTAAAGCGCCCGCTAAGCGAAGCAAAGCGATCAACATATTTTGAGCCTCGCTTCAGGCTTAAGCGTGCCTTTGATAACACTTTGATAACACTGTTGCATGCAATGTGAACAGTGGGAAAAAGAGCTCATACTTCAAGTTCCAAAATATGTGGCTGAAAGAGAACGACTTTTGGAGTTGGTGCAGAAGTAGTAGAGATCATATAAAGTAGAGGGCCGACTAGGTTATTTGTAAGCCAAAACACCAATAGTAGTTAAAAGGAACCCAAAGGAGTGGAATATATATTGCTTTGGCTCATTGGAAAAAGGAAGACCGAAATCCTAGATAACTTGATTGAATTGGATGAATTGGCAGAAGAGAGACAACTGCCTGAATTTGAAGTTATCCCATGAGTCTAGTTTAAAGTCTGAATAAGAGGTCAAAAGGAAAGTGGTACTGATTGTTGGTTTACCAAAATAATTCTTCAAAGCATTAGCATAACCACAAATGAAAATCTATTGATTCCGATTTAAAATGTATAAAATCAAGATAGTAGCACCTCAGATGCTGCATCAAGCTGTCGATTGCTACAATAGCTATGCTACAAATTTCAATCACAACATAGACTGTGACTTTAGTATCGGAACTAAACACTTACTACGAGAAAGATTTTGTGCATGCCAGAATTATTTATAGAAAGTAGTTGCACTTGCATGCCAGAATTATTTATAGATTTTGTGCTTACTCTTTCTCTTGGGGCACTAAAACAAGAGAAAAGGCTGAAACAAAATTTGAAATATCATTGCAGCTCAACTGACTGACCTGGCTTGTTGAAAGTGATTTCCTACATAAGGGTAGTCCACATCTCTCAACCTCCCCCTGGTGATATTCTCCATGGTTTGGAATAGAAGAGGTTGATGCTGGGTATACACATTCTCGACCCCCTGTGACAAAAATCAACTGTAAGCCATTAAAATCTCATCTACAAGGTGTTGGATAAAGATGGTAATAATCATTTCGGGAGGAGGGGGATAATAACTCTGGGAAAGGAAAGTATCAGAAAAGCATTGTGTTCAACTTTTTAAAATTTTCTAGTTAGGAAGTAGCTGAACTTTTTAGTATTTATTTAGAGCAATATTTAGATTCTAATTTGGTTACATAGTTTTAATTAATCAAGAGGGACTAGGCTGATATTATCGCTACAAGCAGAGGAAACCAATTGCGCAAATCAATTGAAGAGGTGGACAAAGATCATTTATGAAGAATATGGACGTGACCAACATATACATGGTTCTCCAAAGTTGATTGGCATTTTGGTGGGCGATGGTAATCGAATCTGTAACTCTGTTTCCGCCTTGATGTATGGTATGGTAATACCACATTTAAGACGATTTCCAAAACTTAATTCTCTGTTCAAGAGAAAGGGAAATCACCAATGGCAGAGATACTAATATGTATCTCTTAAAAGACTACAGGATTGGGAAGTTAAAGAGGAGGTGGTGTTCTTCCAGAGGTTGCATAGCAGGAAGGAGGATATTTTAACTTGGGAAAAATCATCTGTGAGATGCTTCAGCGCAAACCATTGTGGAGTTCTAGCATTCCAAGCAAGGTCGATTCTTTTAGTGCAGTGTGTGATGCTGTTTCATCATCAAACAATTTAAGGAATAGAAGATGTATTATTGTTAGTAGTTGTTGTTTCAGCAAACAACATGGCGACGACACTATCATCTGCTGTACATTGTCATTTTGCCTTGGAGTTATACTGTTTTCAAAATATAAAGGGTTGTGCTAAAACCAGTGGCAGAAATGTTAATAAGTTGGCGGACAAAGAAGTATAGAAACAAACAGAAGCATATTACGGAGAACAGCAGCCTTTTGTCTATATTACATCTTTGTATAACCAGGAAATTCCTAATTGTATAGAAGGTTCTGCATATTGCTTGAATGCTTAATGTGTGCTTGTAATACAAATGGATGTACATACAAAAACCTACTTGGTGTGAAATAAAAAAAATGAACTAACAAGATTGAAAAATAGGAGTATCACTGACCTTTTAAGTTCTCTGCAAGCATCATATTAAGTGCATTAAACAAAAAAAAATACATCCATTGCCGAAGGAATCAAAAATTTGTCTCTCAAGTGACATTTTCTTTTTCCAAATACGAATGCTTGAGATGTTTCTACGATTCTAGATTAGATAAAGTTCTGGATTCCGTTAATAGTACAGAGAAAAAGTAAAGAATTGTACTTCCTAGACGCACCTTAAGACCACGAGCCATGTTACGTGCAATGTTCAGGAGATCTCTGTTCCCATACAGGTCCCCAGTTCTCTTATCAACTCCTGCTTGCTTTAGAAGGAATTGCACTAGCTTCAAACCATAACCAAAATAAAAATGATTTCATTTGTCAAAGGAAATTGTCAATGTAATATCGAGCACAGATGAACAATCTATCCAACAATAGAAGAAAACACAATTTGATGCCAATACCTATATATAAACTATAACCAACAACAAGCATGAACTGAACAAGACTACTGACCTTTTTACCTACTTATATCAAACGTAATAACCATGCTTTTAAAGAATGCTGTTGCTTTTCCTCTTTCAAACATAATAACCTACTTATCTCTTTTAAAGAATGTTGTATAATCTTCTCATCATAAATACAGAAATAAAATTTTTGAAGACCATTAGGAGCAATAACTTTTGAGCACCCACAAACAGATCAGATCAATCAACAAAGAGAATAAAGCACATTATCTGTTAGCTAAAAGAAAAATTGGCCTTTACAGAAGGCACCGAGTGAGGTCCTAATGATCTTCTTTTTACTCTTTCACAGGGAGAGAAACAACGGGCAAAGGCAGTACAATTGTTAAGATACAGATAATAAAAGCAAACAGAGCAAGATAGCAGGACTAACACAAAAAAGAAGCTGAAAAAGTTAACAATCATATTAATCCTCCTTACTCCAGGCTTATACTTGGGCGACCGAGATGCCAATTTGTTGAATAGCTGCATGAGTTGAACAGGACTCTCCTTCTCATAGCGCAAGGCGTACAGCATTACGAGGCGCAAGCGGTCAATATCAGAGATATTATCATTATTCAATAGATTTGTCACAGCCTGCAGACGTAGCAGAATTTAGAAAAGAAATTATACCCAAAATGATCATCGTCTTCCACTGATTTTCAAATCTTATAGTCACTAGTGCTACGTACAAGACAAGTCAAAACAGTATATAGATATAATTAACATTTGTGGCTCAATATCAGACATGTCAATACAATTCAAATTATGAGCATCTGACATGAGAATCAGCTCAGTTTCAGAGCCGTCATCCCACTGCATTGTTTGCTTGCCAGATATCTGAATGGAGTTAGCATGTTTCAATGATTTGGAACTTGCTTCTACAAAGTCTCCAACCAGGGAATTAGCATGTTGATATTTAGTAATGTCAACAGACTACTCTGCACTAAATCTCAGTCAAGATTTAAGCCACGAACTCACTGGAAAAAGAGTAAATTTATCAATGCAGCAAACTTATCAGAAAACGTTACCACCGAACATACCAGTGATGTACATGACTTATTTTAGTAAAGAAAGGTAGAAATTTTTTATTAAACAATCTAATATGAGATTGAACCAAATTTATTACCTCTTCTTTTCTTTTAGGAGGTACAGAAACTTGTATCATTTCCAGAATCAACAATATACAAGGTTGTGCGACAATTTTGTTCATGGCCAAAAAACTCATTGACATATTAGTAATCTCAAAAGTAGATTTCAAATACATCCCACGTGTTGTATCTTGAATAGACACTATATATATGGAAATCACAAATTAGATTCAAATACAACTCTATATTTACAACACTATCAATGTGTAACACCTAACAGCATGGATAGGGACGCAAGAGTCAAATCCGAGACACAAAATTGTTGAAATTGGATTTCAAGTCACCAAGGGGGGAAAGTTAAAAAAACAGAGTTGGCCCATGAAGCAAGGGGATTGGGGGTGGGATTTACCCCAAAAAATTTAAACTCAAAAAGATGACACAACACAGATTAGACGGTATGCTATAATTTATGTAATATTAAGTATCACTTTTTATAAGTAATACACATAGCCTATAAAACAACAAAAACACGGTAAATAAACCCAAGAGGAACTTTTAAAAAGCTCCTAGATCATTAAAAGTTCTCCAAATAGGTGAACAAAAAATAATAAGAGACATAGAAACATATAATTTTCATGCACATTGCTAGCTGAGACATGACCAACACAAATACGTGGCCTTAAATTTCATGTCCATGCTTCAAAGTTTAGCGTATCCATTCAAAGAGGGTGGGACGTGACAGGGATACTCCATTTTTTCTCTTCTTTTTTTTGTATAAGTAAAAATTGGGACCCAAGAGGATCAGGAGGATTGGTGACAGTAATATACCCTTTACCACAACAAACACACCATCAACTCAGAAGTGTACATGCCTCGGTTCAGCGTACATATGCTCACGACTGAATCAAACCGCTGGTTATCTTTCTAGGCGGCAAGTTTACTTGATACACCCTAAGCTCCTGTTATCCAGGACTTGTCTATACACAATTGCGCGTATCATGTGTAATAATGGTTTCAAAAGTGATAACATGCAACAATAAGTATCTCTTCCCCTCATCCCTCCTCCCCTCTCACGAACAACTCATTTAGTTTCAGTTTACATTAGCAGTATCTGTTCATTAAAACAATAATTTCAAACGAAGTTCCAAAGGAGAACTCAAAGAAAATCGTTGTTGCTTAAACACGGAGTGACCTTGGTTTAGTTACATCTTCAATGCAATCAAAGGAATTTCAGAATGTAAACTAGTTTATCAAAAGAAAGGAATTTAGCATGTAAAACTTGGTCCAAATAACCACCAAAAGTAGAAAACAGAGAGAAGACTAGACGGAAAATTTCCTTATTTTCTACTTAGTTTTCCACATTTACTTTCCATAACTGATAAGAAAGTTATGCTTCAATACTGAAGGACTAGGCTACCTCGAATGCTGCCCCTTGTCCACCATTGCAAGCCAGTTCTTGTTCTGTCTGTGAAACCAACATGAGTTTTCGCTCTTCAACTATCTTGCTCATTTCTGTAACCAGTGTCACATGCTTAGAAACATTGCCTTGCATTTTTCTGTATTCCGGGTAGTTGTCGACAAATTTAGCCATGTCCTCTGCAAAAATGCAAGCCTTATGAACAGAAGCTTCTTTTTAGAAGAAAAATACCATGTCGGAGTTGCAACAGAAACACTTGCTGTACAACCCAAAGTTAAGCTACAAGCTCGCAAATACAAACCTATCGTCTGGATATTTTGGTTACTCTTTGCCACTTGTTGGAAGTCGTCCACCATTTTCTTAATATTCATTCCAATATCTCCAAAGTTGTCATACATATTAGCTTTGAAAAATGCATCTTGCTCAGATGACAGTACAACCTCCTGAAACCATAACGAATCAACAGGTAATGAATTATTCTGGAGAAGATAACAAGGCAGTATTTAGATACAAGAGGAAATAACTTTTAACCTGTTGATCTTTTGGCAACTTGCCAACGTTCTTCAGATTAACCTTGTTATCTTGAATACCCATCAACTCATGAACCATTGCCTGTAAAAGCACATAGCACAAATGAGCAGCATTACTTTAAAAGTGACACACTAACATTACTTGAAGAAGACGAGGGGGGCGCACAATTTGATGGAAATAACAGAAGTACAGAAGAGGGCAAGAGGCACAAACTGTTAGATATAACAAGGGCAAAGAACTTACAGACTAGCCATACCTGATAGGTCCACTGATTAAGCAGTGGAGTCACGGGGTCATCTCTCCTATCAATTATTAGCAACAATGGAGAAACTTCTGTTCTCCTGAAATCAAAAAGACCACTCTCTTGCTGGTACATCAGCTTCTGCAATATCGACAGAAGAAAATTGTGTATTTCTGTTCAATTTTTTACTTTTCCAATCTGAAATATCCAAAATCAACTACAACTTCAACCTCAAGCAAGAGAGGTAATAATCCTAATAATAGAACTTGATAGGCTACAAAGAACAAACATGAGGAAAAAGAAAGAAACAGTTGGTGTGCTTACAGAAGCTTCATGTGCTATTCTTTTCGCAACATCGGATGTCCGTGAATATCGAATAATAGGCCTTCGCTTTAACGCCAGGAAAACTGCAGAAATTCCATCAACAACTCGTTCACAAAATTGCTGCAATGCTGATGGATCTACAACTGCCGGGAGCATATACATGTGGTTTGCGGCCATATTTAACGTGAAATGGTAAGGGTCCAACGCAACAAAATCTGCATAAAATTCCTGCAAATCACGTCAATAATCATGTAACATAGCGAATGTTTAGTTTCAATAAAAAATTTAAACAAGTTACAGGCCACAACAAATTTTTAGAGCTCCAATAGGAAGATGTTATCAGCAACAATTTCTTAATGTTTTTCCATATTATGCAATATCCTTTTTCAAATGCACATGATTTCCCATTTAAAACAGTAGAAAATGCTAATTCTAAACATACCTGCAACTGCTGGACAACTTCATGTTCATCTGAATCGGCTAACATATGAAGTTGAGTATCTTTCAAAATATTGGAGAAAACTGTGCAACAAAAAGGATATATTAAATGTTTTATCCATGAGAAACTTTGGACAACAGCATTTTACACTGACATGTTCTTCTGAAATATATTAATATACAGTCTGAACTTATTAGCAGATTTCCCCGTGTCGTCCAATTATAGAGGACATACTTACAAAGGTGATACTCTCCAAATCTTGGCTTAGCCAGTTGACGCCGCATATGCTGAATATTCTCTGATATTGGTCTTAGAAAATAAACTGCTTTAAGGTGTGACATGGATTCCTTGGACATTGAAATAGAATCTACCAGCTCCACCAGGAACACCTCCTTCTTCAGGAGTTCTGATTGAGAGTACACAACACTAACAAAACTAACCTGCTCATTAAGAACAAAAAGTAAACACCACAATTTATGACAGAATAGCATTAACACAAAAAGTGATTTTGCAGATATAATCAGTTAAAACTTACGCCTAACATCTCAAGAATCCAACAAGATTTAATTATTATTCTGGGCCACCTTTTACTTGATAGTAGGACAGAATTACATCATTTGTGATCATAACTTACCAACTTAACTACAAAAAAAAACACAAATAGGTAGAAGCAGAAAGTGCTTAGATGCCGTAGATGACTATATTCCAAAATACCATCCCACACAAACTGATGTATCCAACTGCTAAAATCTAACTAGAAGCAGAAACAACTTAAGTCATTACTTGATTAAAAAAAAAAGAGAAATGGAAACAACTTAAAACCCAAAGCAGACCGCCTTCCAGAACCCTGATTCCACACCTAATACACCCTTATCTAGAGAACTAACTCCCACCCTGCTGCACATGCAAAGCATATTCTATTCTTCTTCTTTCTATGGACCAAGGGCAATTAAAAGTTGGTTGCATAATATCTCCTGGAACAGGCAGCTTTCCCTAGAAAAGAAGTCATCAGTGCTAGCCACAAGAGGGCACACATATAAGACAAAGCTAACAGAACTGAGAAGAAAAGGATTGATCGAGTTTTCATCTATTAGGCAACTGTCAGTTCCCTGCTTCCTCTTAATTTAACTGTTCTGTAGAGAGCACTCACTGCTACTGTATCATAAAACTTTTAAACTGTACTAGTTCTCCAGTAAGATTTCAGTTATGGAATTCCGTCCCATGTCACTCAAAACTATGTTCGTAAAAAACACACTCAAAACACATGAATCGGGCAAGACTTCGACAACTAGACAAATGGACTTGCTAACCACTCACTGGCCTTTTGGCCCATCTGGTCCACATTCATTTTTCTTTTTGATAAGTAATCATATTTTAGATACAAAGTTAGCCCCCAATGGTTGCTGGATCCAAACTAAAGTACAGACGTCTACTCACACCCCAACCTATGTAGAGAAATAACAAAATCCATTAAGATATGTATATCAATGACAGCTTCAAGTTACACCAAAAACCACAATCTATAAGCATTTGAACTTGAAGCTTTCCTTGGTCTAACTTCTTCCATCAAAAAATCTATGATTCCTCTCCTTCCATCATTTCAAAAATGCAAGCTGTAATGAATTAAATAAGTTCCTGATATGTCTTTCTAGCTATATAGAGTATCTTTTGACGCCTTCGACATGCATATTCCGAAGTTCAAATCATGCCCAATGTTATTAAAGGCGAAAAGCACAAAAAAGCTCTAAGGTCTGTGGGGCTTTAAGCACAAAGCGCAAATAAAGCGTGGGCTTCAATGAAAAAAGGCGCAAATGGAGAAAAACTACAAATATCTACGTGTAGTCCAAGACTAATATCTATAAGCATAAATATACCAAATATATGGACAAAGAAATTGAAGAAAATTTACGATAAGTGAAGTATCAATTGTTTATTGTTGTCTCTTCCGGATTACGCTTGTTAGCAAGGAAAAGTATGCCTTAGAGCCTTGATGACAATACTGAAGCGCCCGTTAAGCGAGTTCGAAGCGCTCAACATGTTTTGAGTCTCGCTTCAGGGCTTAAGCGCACTTTAAGCGCGCATTTGATAACACTGATCATGCCCAAATCTACTCCAGTAAGGAACAAGGTCAAGAGAACCTGATCCTCTATCTTCAGAATCCATAAACAGTAGCTTAGATCTCTTTGAAAGTGAAACGGCTACTCCAATATGAAATTCAAAAACAGAAGCTTACTCTCGCACAAACTAACACGACAAGGTGTGCAAACATTGTCTAAAGTCTAATTACCCTGTCCAACTACATCAGCCCACCTACAAGAAAGGGTTTCTCGCCTTTGCTTTACTACAATCACTTCAATGACATCTCCAAACCCCAGTACTACAACAACCGATGATAACACTAGTCATTCTTTCATCTCCTTTTCGGAAATCGGACATATTAAGCAAAAAAACTAACGAGTTATGAATTACTAATATTATGTCAGCATCCCAAAATCTACCCATTCCCTCAATGATAAAATTCTCAACGTGGCCTGAGCAATGAGCACTTCCTTTTTTTCTTTTGTGTTTCATTCATTCATTGACCACATTGATAACAATCTTGTTAGCTTATACAGCTTGGCTTCCCTGTCCAACATTTCCGGTTAAAGTCTCTTGAGATGATTGAAGGTGTTAAAAGGATAAGATATAGACCTAAAATCATATTGAGGATACTTGTCTCAAAAGACCTACAATCTCTTGAAAGCAGCCGGACTTACTAAGAAAAAAACACAATGGAAGCAAAGGATGCATATAACCATTACCAGCTAATCGGATTAGACCCTGCGTTCATAAGGAGTCCTTTCATTTTGGCTAGACTTGTATAACTTCTTAGGATAAGTATGATATTCAGCGAATCTCTAGTTAAAGAACTCCTAATTTGGCTTAAAAGACAAAATATTTAGTATTAAAATGAAATGAACCTGAATAAATACAGATTCGATTCAAAGCATTCATATAGCTAACCCAACTAAGTTGTATTTAGAAGTAGTCGATTGGTTGATAGACATGGGCAGTTGTATAATCTAAGAGCGGGTTCTGCCGAACCCAGTAGCTTTAGCTCAGACCATTTATATGTGTTAAGAAACCTACTAAATATGTACAAGTATTAAATTTTGAACCCAATAATTCAAATGGTCAGTAGATTCAGTGGAATCCTAAGCCCAAAAAGTTCAAATCTTGGATCCGCCTATGTTGATAGACCGTTTGAAGCTCCCTATATGTTCAAGAATCTTTTTTTCATTCTTTGAGCTCAAGATTATTTCATTAAGCTACCCATTTATTATGAATCTCTATCTACACATTAATTCAAACCAGAAAGGCATCAGATCACTAGACTAATTACTCAAAAAGGCAACTTTATAAAGTAATTATCTCACTCAACTTATTTTCTCAGTCCAGAAATTTCAAATTGGTTTGGAATTATCACCCATTCTTACCCATTTATCAGATCAGATAACAACTTTCATCAACCTTCAAACCCATCTCAATTAAATAAAACGGACCAAAAAGATTAAACTAAAGACACACACACACACAACACAAAAACACACAAACAAAGAAGCAAACAAAAGGGTGTCTTTAAATTGGAAAGAAAAGAACAAACCGTGTGAGAATCAAGAATTAGGACTTTCATCCCAGAAATGTCTTGCAACATGCGATTGATATACTCCCTCACCGCTGCTACTAATACCATCTTTTCTTAGGAATCCAAAACTCTGCTGATGATTTGATCTTGTTTTTGCGATAAAATTCAGGAATAGAAAAAAAAAAAGATCTCAACTAATCTTTGGAGGGAATTGAAGAACGCCTTGGAGTTGGGGAAAAAAAAAGAAGAAAGAACGTTGGGGACAAAATGACAAAACTGATCCCTTATGTTTTGGGTAGGTTTAAAGTGACCCCTTCAGTATATTTGTTAGCTGTTTTGGTTCTTTAAGTTTGCCAAAAGTAATTATTTTTTAACTTCAAATTTTAAGAAAACTTCAATTGTTAGATTTAACAAGAGCTATGAAGAAGAAAAAAAATTTAACCAACATCAGCCAATTACCAAAAGCTGCAACAGTAAAAACTACAGAAAACACTACAAATAAATTACAAATAACAAAAATTGCATCTAAAAAGTTGTACTGGACTCTAAAAATATATATAAGAAAAGCAGAAATAACTAAAGCTGCACCTAATGTTAGTTCGTGTTAAATGTTATTTCCCTTCAAAATTCCCGCTAAATCTAACAGCCATAGTTTGATAAATATGATTAAATGTGCTCAAATTAACAAACTTAAAGGACATAAATTGCTCAAATTAAAGGATCACTTTAAACCTACACAAACATAAGGAACTATTTTGTCATTTTCTCAACGTTGGGGAGTTAGAACTAGAACTTTATGTTCGTGACTAAAGTATTAGGAAATCTTGAGAGTCCAACTAATTAAGAGTTTGAATAGTAATATGGAGTACAACCAACACATTTTTGTGTGAATTTGGATGTTGGTTTTTAACTTTGTTATAAAGGATAATCTATATATTTAGAAATTTTAAAAAGAATATAAATCATGACAATTAAAAATATTTGAAAAGATCATATGCAAAGAGAGTTTTGAAAGAGGGAGTAAGAGATTGTTTGACTTTGCTTTATAGACTCGTTAGGTTGAAATTATGATATAGTGTTATGTGGAGAATAATGATATAGGAATGGTATAGATATTTTAATACTAAAGTCAAGAACTAGTTTAATTTTTATATAATTATTTCGTATAACATAATACATAGATTTTTATGTAAGTTTTGTATGTCAATTATGTGGAATTTAATATAAGAAATTAAACAATTGTACTAGTAACACATACTTAGATTATTGTGTAAGTTGTGTTTATTAATTATGTAGAGTTTTATAGAAGAAACGATTATACTAGTATTGCAAGTTTTATACTAAAGATCAAACATCTTATTATAATGAAGATAATGCTTAAATTATTTTTTTTCTATACAGAAAACAAAACTTGCCTTTAAATATTTAGTCAGTCAGACCTTGCAATCTTAGGCAGCTAATGTCTTGAAATATAGCCATGAAAAGTAGGAGCAACAAGAAAAAGCAAATATTATACGTTCGACTGACACTGAAAATAGTTCCTCAAAGTTTTACTGTGAATAATGTCCGAATCTGATCTTTTCTTCTTTTGAGAGGGCGTTACTAGGACGCTCGACTACTGTTAGACGCAAATTACCGTTAAACTATAGTCGCTGATTTTATAGCCAAACTGCCATGAATGGAGAAAAATAAAAACACCCTTTTGTGGGGTGAAGTTCATTTAAGAGCCTATTTTGGGTGCAAACTCTTTTTGAAGGAGGTCGAGGTTCACACATTCAGCATTATCACAGCAAACGGAATATTTTGAAGAAAAAGCTTATCAACACTCATGTTTACATCAAATCACACTTGTCTCTCATAGCTAAATCACTAAATTGTACTATGTTTTACGGGCACTGGGGACTGTTGAGATTATCAGGAAAAAAATGGTTTAAAAAATAATCCAAACACACAATTTTTCTCTGAATATATTTTTTCACATCATTTCCAGAAACAAAATCAGAACCAAATCCAATTGCCTAAGCATTCGCTGATCTTAAAGACGTACAGTATGTTAGCTCCAGCTAAAGTAAGCTAAGAGAATGCCTACATCCTTCCAAAGATTTTTCATTTGACGTCTTTATATATCATTGGACGTTTTTGACCAGGAAGTTGGTGCGATGATGAAACACAAAAATGTAAGCCTATTGGAGTCGGCATTCTTTATTGGAAAATCCATAAAGTAAGCAAGAGGTGCTTCCATGCTCCCAAAGGTTTTCCATTTGACGACTCATTGGATATTGTGAAGAAAGTCGCAGCAAATGTGCAATATCTAAAAAAAGATCGTGGATTTACCAATCCTATTAGGGTGTTGAACCATGCCAATCACAACAATCGCTTATTCACTACCCTAGTCTACTACAATTCTCTATATTTTATGAAATATATTGTGTTTTCGCTCGTATGTATTAAGAATAGATTATATTGTCATTGTCACATTATACTTCCTTTTGTGTATTTGTCACACATATTCTGGACAGCACAACATACTCAGGAGAAACAATAAGACCAATGGAAGGGCAAATGATTATTAAGAAAAGAGAATATATAAAGGCAAAAACAAATAATCAAGCAAGCGAAAAAGGAAGTGCGGAAAGGCTTTTGAATTAGAATGAGCACTTGGATAATATATCATCCCAACTTATGTAGGAAAAGGTACAAGACAAATGATTCAAGAAGAGAAAACACGTGAGAGGAACTGCAAACGCTGCAGTCACAAAATTTCATAAAGCTCTGCTGATGACCTAAATATTTTCCAAAAAAAAAAAAAAGAATACAATATGGAGGAAATTGAGGTATATTGCGCCTGTAGAAAGGTTTCCACGGACGCTGCCCGTATGAATCATAAAATATGTTTTTCTACTATGTTTACAACAGTTACACATTACCAAGAAAAGAAAAACCCACTACACATATAGGGAGAAAAAGCACTCGCCTGCAAGACTCAATTCAAAACTCGCCATCTCTGGACACTATGTTCTCACCTTCTGTTGCCACTGGAGTTGCTCCTGGACTGCCACTTGCTGATGCAGATATTTTATCTGGAATGGATCCACCACCTTGTTTGACCAAATCAATATCAGCCACAACAGTTGTGGAACCGAGGTTAGGGGTACTGGAACCAGAGCCACGATCATCAACTTGCTTAGACTTATTCAGGGCATGGCAATGAGGGCAATAGTACGTTATGTAAGGGAAGTCCTCTTTCCTGGCCAGCCCTGCAAATGATAGTAATGCCATTACTTATTTATCATTCTTTACGTGAATCCTCTCCAGGAATTAGGCTTAATGATCACTAAAATTCTTTAATTCTTACCATTGTGCATATGGCAATTGCCGCATATGAGTGCATAAGACTGGGTTGGATCCTCCCCCACAAGCAATGCTGCAATTTTTGCAAGCCATCCTCCATCTTGTGTACTGGAACCTGTCGGGTTGTAATGCTCAACAACTGTTTGCTGATGCTGCATCGTACCAGAACCTTCAAGCTGTGCATGTTGAAGCATTTCTGCTTCATGATGATCTAGTACAGCACTCTCTGGACTACTAGATCTGCCCTGCTTCCTATTTCTCAGTCCAGTAGATTGCACAACCTCTACATCATTGCTCTTTCCAGTAGGGGCATTACGGTTAGTATCATCCCCCACATGAAATTTCAAGCCAGTATCTGCACCAAGCTTGGATGCAAGCACAGTGGCTGCAGCTGCCTTAGCTGCTGGGTCGGGGTCATATCTCTACACAAAAGATTCAACAATGAGATATCATGCATGTCATTCAGACTTGGGATTTGTCAGGAAAAGGTTCTTGGAAAAATCACGATAATAGAGGCAAGGACAAAAGAGGGAGTAAATTTTAATTGTCTTCCACAGTGCAACTTCATGGTTTTTTGTTTAAATACAAAAGAACTCTTTGATCACAGCAACTTAATGATTAAATATGTGAAGAATTTGGATAAGCCCGAAAACTTGCATATGGCTATCACCTGAATGAGCTGTTGAGTTATATAGTAATTTGTCTTCTCTTTGAGTTCGTCAATCTTGGCTTGCCTTTCAGCTCGAAGCTTTTCCAAAGTTTTCTGGTCCTTGCGTTCACCTGCAAGGACACACATAAAGGATAAGCTACAAAAATGAGAGACAAGAAACACTATTCTTTTAAGGGAGTCATGACCAAGGAGGACATGTCAAATTCAGTGAAAGCCACAAGGTTGAATAGACAAATAGGAAGAATCCAAAACCAAAAGGAAATATCAACGTCAAACTGCAAAAAATATTAAATTTTTAGATAATATTTTCAATAACATCATTTGAGGTGATATAAAAATATGGGTCATAGACATTCCCATGCTGTTTGAAATCCTAACATAATAATCACAAAGCCAAATCAGATTTACTCGACCATTTGGGTATACTAAATGTCCTTGAGACAAACAAAAAACCAGAGAAAGCTAAAGTATGAGCTCTTGTGTGATATTATAGCTTCGTCCAAATAATCAGGGCTTCATATGACATTATGCATAAGCATTTCACTAGTAAGTTTGGTTAGAAGTAACTTAAATCATAGTTTTATCTGCTTCTACAGCCACTAGCTTTCTATTACAGTCCAGTTACCAATCAATTCTGCGTTTTCATGGTTTGTTTTCATTGTCATGCTTTCCTCCACCACTATGCCTACTTCAACAATAGTAGTCCAAACCCCCCCCCCCCCCCCCACACCCCCCAAATTAATGTCCAATCAGACATATTTTCTGTAGGCCAGAAAACAGGGTTAGCACACAAAAATGCAATATCCGATACCACAAAAGCATAAGCAGAAAATATAAGAAATATCAATTCAATGCATTTTACATGGCTCACAACGTGTGAATACATATAAGCAGGTGTTACAAGGACAAAGGTGTGAGTATTCAATACAGGTATGGATCTACAGGTCGGGTTCGTCTTTCTCTCAAATTTTACAATTTAGAGATATGGATATGGATACAGGCATGGTAGCGGAGATACTGCAAATTAATGTAAAATATCGACATTTTACTTAAAATTGTTGAAAATATCTTTTTGCTGTTTAACAATGTGGTTAGAATCTATCTATTAAGTGGTCAGCGGTGTTCATTATAACTTATTTCTTTTTTAAGTTGAGTTATGTGGTCCAAGGTTACTCCAACTTACTTTATTCTTCTTGGGCTTGTTT